TCGCCAGCTTCTATCACCAGGATTGGAGCAGTTATGAGTTATTGCAGTTGAAAGTCAAAGTTGGCTGTTCATGTTTAGGCCCTCTTTTTTATTTGGCCATCTACCCCATATTGCAGTTGTGATGACAAGCAGTTTTCAGTGTAGTTTTGTGATCTTTGATGTCATCAATTGGTGTCATTATTTTTTGTCAACTAAAACTTATTTGAACTTTCCATTCAATCGACTCAATCATACGAGTCACTCTAATTTTCGGGAATCAAATCAGTCAACCAGTCGCTAAAGTCAAACGAGTCAGTCAACCAGTCATCTCGAAAAGTCAATCGACTCAATCCAATCAACTCAAAATACGCGTTGAAACATATTATTCAATTCAATCGACTTGATTGGTATACAACCCTGCTTATGGTACACATATACGCGATTTACATCCGACTTATCTCTCTATCCGGGAGAGATTACCTATGCCCTCTTCCGGTCCGCGTGTAACACCTCCGTTCACGACCCAGGGACCACCGTTCATATCCTGGAACTCTCCTCAGGAACTCTCCTTAAACCGTGGGATTTACATTCAAGGCCTTACGTGTCCTGGAGTACATCTTTCCCTCCCCTGATGCTGTCCAGTACCGATTAAGGTACCTTTACAAAACAAGTATGAGGACTTATTCGGGACACTACGGCTTGCCTTATACGCCCTTTGGGTGACTCACCCCTGACCTTCGACTTCTTGCCTTTGGCATAGCTCCAACTTACTCTCCAACTGGACTGTACCAGTCTTCCCCTTCCCTCTGCCATAGAAACCTCTCACTGCCTCGTTACCCAGTGTTACCTAAGCGGGAAAATTAACAGTGGCCGGTACCACTGGCGGAAAACGTGCCTATGCCCTGCGTACGTGACGGTGTGTCCCTCTTATCATTTCAGTCTGGACGTGGGTTTAAAGAAGTGCATCTGTGTGTTATGAGGTTATCGGTGGAGCCAACAAATAACAAAATGTACTTACTTTTATTAAGTACATTTTGTTATTTGTTGGCTCCACCGATAACCTCATAACACAAATATGTCCCTAAATAATCAGCAAGTGCATCTGTGTCTCATACAGTCATGCTGGTAAACATTACGCCATAGGAGACGGGCAAACAAGCCGTCTGTGCCTCACAATGCCCTGTGCCAATATTGGTGGAGTAATTATTGGCGCTAACTCGCAAGAACGCGAAGAACAAAAACGCATTATTTATCCAAACCAAATCGTAATCTCAAGTCCTTATTGCTGCTGCACGCGTGAACCTAATCATCAGTTCTCGTATACAATCCTAGCAGACCTTGAACCGCTCTTGATTTGATCAGATGATCTAGAACCAATTAGTACGCACCGGTCTGTCGTCTGGTTGTGATCCACCGTATCATAGTAAATTACTGAATGCTCAAACGGATATGACTCCTTGAAACTCATTCGATATCTTCTGATGGACTACTATTTACCTATACCACATCAAACGAACTGCAGTCCTAGATATTACATAGCATGTCGTATTTAGAATTATGCATTAACTGTTTACGTTCTTATCCCGTGGCAACTTTCCACAACTAACCATGTTCCTATACGATGACCTTCACCTACCGCACGCGCCCCAATTACGGTTAGCCCACTGCCCTACTGTGGCCGCTGCTGCACTCCCGACGCTGCTCTCATGTGCCATCTAGCGGCGCACAGTCCGGCGTCGCGAACGACGATTACCACGGCCGCCGGCCGGCGCCGCGTCAACAGTCGACAGTTGTCAAGGCCGCGCCGCGATGGGCGCGTCATCACTCGCGGTGCAGTACTGGTGTGTGCGGTCTCTCCGGGCCGGGTAGATTCAACGAATGTGTCAGTGAGTGTGAATCTGGTAAAATATCGCTGCAATATCTCCCTGTTCGACATCTCATCAGCTCCATTCCACGTAAGTTTTTTTTTAACTCCTGTCCCATTTGATCGTTTCCCAACAAAGCTGGTCTTTTCTAGTATTTATTCTACAAAAGCACTACGATCGGTACCTATATTAGTCGCATGTTAGTTCTAACCACAAACAACTCTACATCTACCTATTACTCGACATTGCGCACTACAATGACGCAAAGTACAAGGACCATCTAAAGTCGCAAAGTGTCAGACCGTCGACCTCAAACCACTATACTCTCAACTCTGCACCTAAGTAACAGAAGAAATTCCGCCGTAAGCTCAAGCATTCGTATCTGTCGAAAATCATAACTCATAGCCATATTCATAGATCGATTGCATGAATCAGTCGCCACCTTAAAACATTACATTCCCTTTCAACCGTATTTACCTGTCAATAATTGATTTCGACTTCGCAATTAATTCCTACAGCAATATTACCAATGATTTCGCAATGCAACTTTTAGTGAGTACAGCATGAATCTACACCCTTAATTTCACAAACTTCCCAACCTCAAATCTTAATCGCACCTGACTACCGCCGATAATAAATCAAACGAACCAGTTTGACCAACGACAAAGACGTTTCAACGCTGTCACGCATCCGGTCATCAATTTCAGCGTTCGTGACGCTGAGCTGCTTATTCAAATTTTAGCATCTCGTTCTCGGCCCTATCGCGAAACATACCGTACTGCAACTGACAATAACGTATTTGCTGGCGGCTCTGACATGACCTCAAAATTCAGATCCTAATATGCTACTAGGGTGTCTGGACCAATAAGTTCAAAGTAATTTAGGTTTTCCAATTCCAATTGAGAATGCATTTTATGGCAACCGAAAATGTTTGGCAGTCGTCACGGCACGGTAGGCTGGGCAGAGAGGGGGGGGGGGCAAGGATCACTGATCAGGGATAGAGCATAATTTTCAACAACACTCACATTCTGGAGTTTCCCTGTGCTTCCGCTTCTCAGTGTGGTCACAAGCGTCGGCGGTTGTCCTCCGGCTCTGGTCGGTCGAACTGAAGAGGCTTCTCGCGGGTGACCCCGGACCGAAGGCGGCCTCCAGGTGACGTCTCCGGCTCCGGCTGCAAACTGTGACTCTCGGCTGCTCGACTGTGACTCTCATCTGGTTGGGTGACGCACCCTTTTATAGTTGGGGGGGGGGGGGTGACTGCCACGCCCTTGCGCTGTCATCTTCCTCTGCCTTCCTCTTGTGGGTGGGCCCGTAAGATGGCGCCCTCTGTCCTGTTTAGTCACCTTGCTCCCCTGTGTCTGCAATTTTTGGCCGTCGAATCGTCTTCGTGTTGAGTGCTTTATCATCTTAGTAGTCGCTGGCATAAACCAATCCCCGAAAGGTTGGTGATTTTCGAGTTTTAATTTTGATTCATCAATTTCATTTTATTCAAACTTTTGTTTCCTTCCGTTTCGTCTGCCGGCAACGCCCCTTGTGACGTCACTCTTGCTCCGCCCACTGACGTCATCTTGGTTGGGAGGGTCCGTAGAACAGCGCTTTCTGTCCGCGGTGGGGACGTCCTGAACTACGTCTGTTTCGGACAACAGCGCTTTCTGTCCGCGGTGGAAACGTCCTGAACTACGTCTGTTTCGGAGGCTGTTTGCTAGGGTCATCAGATTCCGTTGCAGTGTGACGCACTGTTGTGCTACCATGGCTACGTGAGACCCAATATGCTACGTGCCTTAACCCTCGCCCATGTAGGGGGGGGTTGGTGCAACCCCCCCCCCTGAGGCTTTTCGGAAATAGTGCAAAAACGGCGGCGCGCAGCGCCGCCAAATTTTGGGTACCTTATGGGGCAAACCTTGCGCATCTTTTGATAAAAAAAAATTGACCGGGTCATGTCAGGTCACGGAGTTATGACGTCACAAAGGGAACAGCCTCCGGCCGGATTTTCACAAACTGAGAGCCAACGCCCGAGGTTTCCTGCCGGTGGTACGGACATCGGTTGATGGATCGTGATGAAACTTCCCATGCATGTTGGGGCAGGTATTGGCTATCATATGGTATAAGAAACTTGACCGGGTCAGGTCAGGTCACGGAGCTATGACGTCACAAGAGGAACAGCGTCCGGTACTATTTTTGAAAAGCGCCCGAACCACTATTTTGCTAATTCTTGTCACCTCAATGAGAATATGCAGCAATATTAGCTTCTATAGGGAGCAAATAGACCTCCCAAATCCAAAAATACAATCAGATTTCAAAAATTTAAATTTTGATTTTTCGAATTTCTGCCGCCGACTGTGACGTTGCCGACTTCCGGCGCTCCCAACGCGCCATTTTTAGAGCTAGGGAAACGAAATACATACCAAACGATAGAGAATTGATCAAGGAACACGATAGTGAAGGTTTCAAGTCGATATCTCCCACCGTTTTGCCGCAATCGCCGCGGAAAGTTGAAAAAAGTCTATTTTTCCGAAAATTTGACCTTTGACCGGTCAAAAGTAGGTCAAATATTGACCTAGGACCAAAAAATATACCACCAATCGCGAGATCTCGGCGAGAGCAATCCGTTGGTCTTTTCCGCTAAGCTCTACGACGCTCCGTTTTCAAACGCCAAGGGGGGGGGGGGTCGCACCAACCCCCCCCCCCCCTGCATGGGCGAAGGTGGCAGATCGCCGTTTACGGGCGAGGGTTAAGCCTGCGCGTGGTCTCACAGTGTGCCGAAGTTTGCTTGTAGCTTCAGCTGCTTTGTAATGACTACCAATGACTCATCCTGATGTGACTGTCTTCAGAGGTGCTTGTCTTAATTGGAGTTTAATGGCGGCCCATTCTGTGCGGACAGTGAGAAATGATTGGGGAGGGTGGACCTGGGGACTGGTGGGAGGAGGGAGGGAATAATGACAAGGGAGGGAAGCGTGCGGCAGCGCTCTGCTCAGCTGCGCGTCACCCGGCCGGCCGTGCCGAAAAGATATTACGTTAGATGGTCAAGATGTAGCGTGCTACATCACTATGAGGCGAACGTGACGACGCGAACCGAAATCCCGCAGAAACCGAAAAAAACGTCGGAATTCATGCTAGTGTAGCTTAGGCTTTACATTACAAATGTAGCTGGCTCACCTGATGGGGAGGAGCAGCAGCAGCAGTACCGGGAACAACGTCTTCATGTAGGGCCACGGCGCAAAGCCGAAGGCGCACAGCACAATGAGCTGCGCCAGCTGGCAGCCGGTGAAGGTGTGGATCTTGCGCTGCGGCACACGGCGGATGTAGTGGTTCGGAGGGTAGGCCACCTGTGGGCGCCAGGCAGCACGCAGATGGGTCAGCGGCACGGCGCACACTGGCACGCCGCTGTCGGGGCGGGTACCGCAGCTGGTGCAGCAGCTGGATTGTCTGTTGACGTCGGTGACAGCAGGAAGCCAGCACGACGCTGGGATACTTTCGAGAATATTGAACAATTATAACCAATGCTGTAGTTCTGCAGAAAGAAATGTGTCATTATTAGCGAAAGGCCAAAGCAAAATTTAAATTTAATGCCAAAAAAAGTGACTTAAATGGCTACAGAAGAACCTTCGACAATTGCGGCGAGGCGTGAAAAGGTATGACGTGCATTTTTGAACTCATCACATATGGACGGACAGTAGTGTTGATAACTTATACTGTGTACCAAACATTTCCTGAAGCGTGCATAGTTACGGGCCGCACGGAACAGTAAAGTAAGCGAAGCAATCTACTGTTAATAGCTGTCCAAAAATGTGTGTTTTGCAATTTTTTTTTTTGATTTAGAGGCATCGGAAGCTCAGGATTATCAGCAGCTTTTGTCCATCGCTCGTGACTTTGAAGAGACGGCCCTCTCGGGAAGGTTACCACAGTCCGGGACGATACTACTATGCATTTCAGACCCCATGAGACCCTATTTTTCGGCGATAATTTATTTAATATTTATCTAATTGGCTTCAAATTTTCGCACAGCACATTTCAGCTCAAGCGCCAATTTTCGCTAATATCGTCTCTTAGCAAAATATCAATTGTTAGGGTACTTGTTGCCTCGTAATGTTAAAATCAGCTCCGTAAATCCGTCAGTGGAGTAGAGGCTATCCGTACGTAGGCGTGACGTCACAGGCACGTGACCATTAAGCTCCGCCCTCCCGGCAGACGGAGCAGTGACCTTGGCCGGTCAGTCCGATGCGTGGAGCCGACGGGGCAGTAGCCGCCGCACCCAAGGCCGTATGCCGGACCGGGGCGGTTCGCATTGGACGTGGCTGCCTTGCGGTTGCCGTTGCAGTAATAACGATACAGCAGAAACTAGCGCTCGTTATTAGCGCACTAGCCTTCGGTATTGCATTTATCGCAAATTAACATGCACCTTGTCAATCAATAAAGATATATCTACTTTAATACTAAGTTCAGGGCTAGTGAATGCATTTTTGCTTGATTGAACGTCATTAAAAAAGGCCGTTGATGTCAATTGACTGAACTGATGCAAGACGTCGGTCAGCCTACGTCAAATTTGCAAGACATGGTAAACAGTTACACCGTAGCATTTAAGAAGTGTGGTTAAAATATGAAATATATTATGCTTATGCGTATGCTTGAGATGGAATGTGATTGAACACCTTCGGAACTAGCCCATTTTATAATTGGCTAGATTGAGGTCACCGGACTGACTTGACCCCAGGCTTTCGTGTTGAACTGCAAATAATTAAGATACCTGTAAGCAAGTACCCTACTGCCTCACTATTGGAGAGCTTGAAATGTTACTTTAGTTTCACAAAAAGACGCGATTTCTTTACTAGCCTAGCCTATGCGCTTGTTTCCCTTATTCTGATGCCATATTTCTACCATGCGCAATAAATCGCACATCACATTTCGGCTCCCTTCTCAACGCTTCCCGAATAACGAACACAGCTCGTGGAGCGATGTTTGAGGCAATCGGAAGTGCTCGCGACTAATAATCCTCTTCTGTTTTTTTTTTCTGCATAGTTAGGTATAACAGCGTCTTCAGCAACAGCAATTGACGCAGCCAACCATATCGATATTGTCGAGTAGTGCAGAGGCTTCGCATGATGTCATAGGTGACAGAATAGTGGCACGACCTGACCATGAGGTAGGCGCCAGAATGTGCATTTATTCAGATAATCAGATAGTGCATGACTCAGCTCTCTATTTAAAGGTAGTGTGCCACCTTCCAATGATTTCCCATTTTATTTTTCCTAGGATAAGAAGCTTCTGTTTTTACCTAATATCGCAAAAAAAACCAAAAATGGGCCTAAAATAGTGCTTTTTACGCCTAAAAGTTTATCGGTTTTTCGATATGTATATAACAACTGTAGTGGGCTGACCTGCAAACAGGCGTCGGCAACAATCGCGAATGCGGCGCACATGTGACAACAAGCAAAGGTCATTATAGAGTTACGACGTACGGGAATGAGTTATCAGCTGTCTAATCGTAGACAACACAATGTCGAATTTAACCCGCGCCCGGCTGGGGGTCCTGGATTTCCACGCCCTGCTGGGGGGGGGGGGGGGTGTTTGAACACCCCCCTTGTAACTCGGCTCCTGGGCCACGTAGCGATACGCGGAAGGCGGCGTTCGAAAGAGCGTCAAAAATAATGACGAAATCACTTCGGTCAATTTTTTGGTCAGGTCAAAGGTCAGGTCACCAGAGGTCATTGAAGGTAAAATTTCGCCGATTTCCAGGTCAAATGTCGAAAATTTCCAAGAAGCCAACGCATAACCCGAAAACCAATAGAGCTACAGCGCCGCGGAAAGCGCATTCGATAGCCCTATTAAAGCCCTTTCTGAGTAATTCTCTCAGATTTGACCTAACGTCAACGGTTTTGCCTGCAGGGGGCAAAAACTGCAAAAATAGCCGATTTTTTCGGAAACAGTTTTTCTGCAGTAACTTTTGACTCAAGCCTTGTACGAGGTTACTTTTACCGGCATCGTGTTCCTCTCGTCAAGACGCATCGAATGAACTATAACTTGACCTTGAAAGGTCAACTTGAAAATTTGACCTCAGGTCAAGGTCATGACCTGACCGGAAAGGGTCATGTTGCATATCAGTCGATCCGTATCGTCGAGCTGAACCCATCTAAGGCGTTTTCATCGCTCTAGCATGCCTCTATCAAAAGTTATTTGCGAAAAAACTGTTAGATACCATTCGTGACCTAAGATGACCTCAGGGCATAAACAAGGGTCACGGACACCATTTTCATGTTCAGTGTGTCTAAACCACTTGTAATTCGATGTTTGGGAGTGTTTATAATGTCTTTTGTCCAAAGGAGGCACATTTCAATTTTCTCCCATTGACTTATAATGGGGAGGTCGCAAAATTGACCTGACCTTAGGTCATCGATATCAAAATTCTGAGATTTACATTTTGTACATGCTATTGCCCTTAGCAATCGCTGAAAGTTTCAAAGCGATCGGTCACTCGGTGTAGCTATGACAGACATTGAAACTTTTTATGAGGTGAGGTCACTTCAAGTGATCTGGTGACCTGACCTTGAATGACCTTGGTCTGAAATTTTCACAACATGTGTAAAATTGATGTATGATAAGGTGTACCAAAAACGTCGGCGCTCCGCGCCGCCGTTTTTGAGATATTCGCAAAAAAAAACACAAGGGGGGGGTGTTCAAACACCCCCCCAGCAGGGCGCGGGTTAAACTGTAAGCCTGTATTGGTATTGTTTGTTTAATTTGGCTGTCGAACATTAATTTATGGTTTGAAATATTATTTTATGTAAAATAATTGATATGAAACAGCCGTCTCTAAAGTTATGACCCCATCTCACCACATGAAAGTGGCAGAAATGACAATGATCAGCTGACGCATTTTTCTTGGCCGAAGTCAGAGCGCGCGGCCCGACGCACCACCACCGCACCACAAAGTATGAGCAGAAGCCGCGCCCAAAGCCAGGGCCCCGGTAACGTGAGGTAGCCGAGTCGGGGCAACGTGCGCTGACCCAAGCCGGGGCCGCGGCTTTTGGCGCGGTCTACCGCATCCCCGGGCAGCCCCGGGCTATCACATGACACCGGGAGGACGCGCGGCCCCGGCTTGGGTCAGCGCACGCTGCCCCGACTCGGCTACCTCACGTTACCGGGGCCCTGGCTTTGGGCGCGGTCTACCACACCACCTAACAAGCGTGTTCGAAACCGCAGGAGATGATGATGGACGGGTTTATCGAAACTTGATTGGATGAGCCTATCGGTAATAGCGATTTCAGTGTGTGCATTTATTGTTCATAGTGTTGTGAAATGTGGTTGGGGTACGACCGACAACCCGTCGGGGCGAATTTCGCACTGGGGTACTCAAAATTAGAAGAATTTAAGACGTTTCCATGAGTTTTGAAGGTATGGATAAGTTCTAAAAATCCGGTTCTCCTTATCTGGGCCATTAACTCCATACGGTCCAGGAAAGCTGGCACACTACCTTTAATGTTGGTTCTGGGGAGGTTAATATCCTCATTTTGATTATTCTTCATATTCTGAGCTGGATCGGTGTTGATATACCAAAAAGAGAGAAGCGGTTACCAACTCCCCCAAATGAAGAGCAAGCTTTCGCTCAGGCACTTCCTGTCGATTCCATGTATGCTTCCAGTGCACGGCCCCGTGCGACCTCTCCGCGGTGCTGCCGCCGACTGAGCCTGCATAGACCCAGCGCGGTCACGGCCAGTGGGCGGAGCTTAGTTGGGCCCGGCGCAACGTGATTGGCCAGCGCTCCCATCCAATCCGCTGCGGTGGCGAGCGAGCCTCTATCCGGGTGCAAAATCTAATTAGCATTACGAGCCAATGACAGGTGCTCTAAATATTGACATTTTTTAAGAGACCATATTGATGAAAATCGGCGCTTGAGCTGAAATGTCTAATGTCAAAATTTCAAGCCAATTAGACAAAAACTGAAGAAATTATCGCCGAAAAACAGGGTCTCACGGGGTCTGAAATACATAGTAGTGACATCTATTGGCAGATATGTCGTCAGCAAGTTACATTGCCAAACCATGTTCGGAAAAGTGTACTCATGCATATTACTTGCGGCAGTGATGCTTTCAGCAGTACTAAGAACAGAAGAGGCTATAAATAATAAAATACTCGCCTTAGTGCGCCTGTAAGGTGCGCGCACAGTATCTGCCGCTGGCTCCGCGCCCGGTACCCTGCAAGCGTCATCCAAAGTACGACAACCGCAAACTGTATCTTACGCAACTTTTACTTCTATTAGCCGGAGATATAGAGCTAAATCCTGGGCCGCCGACCATATAAAATATTTTGGACATACATGCATTCGCACGTGGATTTGTAGAGGACACAACAGAAGAAAATACCTCTACGCAATAAACCATTTGACAGCATCTCGCTGCGGTGCCCAGCGGTAGCACGACCACAGCCCGACCGCCCTGCGCCAGCCGCCGTAGCAGTGACCGCTGCACCGGCAGCTGTAACAACAGCCGCCTCGCAAACCACTGTAAAAGGTTCGCTACAACTACACTGACCGGACTTCCCATAGCGGTTCCTTTCATTTGTTTGTAGCACTCCCCATTTACCTGAAAGTATGTTGTATCTAAACATAATCTAAGTAGAACTAGGATGTCATCTACCTCCATCCCCGTATTGGCTAAAACGACGCTGTCACCCTTCTCGTCCTCGGCCCTCAACCTTTTCTGAACTATTTCACAAGCTTCATCCGTGGGAACTGAAGTGAACAGCGACTGAACCAAGGCCATATATAGTAGGTAGCGACACTGAGCGATTTGTTTACAGCCAGTTTCGATCCCGATGACGCAAATGTGTCGTCACGAGACAAAACAATATGGCCACCTCTAATGAGAACCAAATGCAATAAGTTCCCGGATGTAGACAGCACTGACGTCACCGGGATCGAAACCGACGACATCAGTACTGGACCTATGGCGAAGCAAAGTAGTGACATCCCCCTGGACTGAACATCGAAAGATACCATGACGTCATCCTCGCTGATAGTCAAACCCTGGACGTACGTTACAAAATCTCTCGAGTCTTTGACATGATAGCCTGTCTTTCCTACCAGCGGTGCTAGAAGGCTTGCTAGGTGCTTAGCAAGAGGGTAGGTTACCGAGCCAATGGTGGACACAATCGGTCTCAGTGGGACCCCTGGTTTGTGAACCTTGGGAAGCCCATAAAACAAAGGCGGCATGGGGTCTGAAGGGTAGAGTTTTAAGTACAAACTTCGTGAAATTCCCCCTTTCCTTTCTATATTCTTTAGAACTTCTCTTACTTTCCGTGAGTAACTGTTCGTCGGATCCTTTGGCAGCTTTTCGTAGGTGTCCTCATCAGAAACTAGCTCATGCACTTTTGCCTGATACTGTTCCTTGGTTAGTACACATACAGATTTTCCTTTGTCACTAGGTAGTATCACTAAATCATCCCTCCCCTTGAGGTTCCGCAAGGCACATCTTTCCTCAGCAGTCAGATTGTCGCTTTTCGGTTTAAAAGATTGTAGTGCTTTCGTAACTTCAAAACGAACTTTGTTCGCATCTTCAGGTGACATGTTAATCCTACTTTTAAGCTTCTCTACTTCCGTAATAAAATCTACGTCATTTACATTCTTCGGTGTTGGAACAAAATTCAAACCCTTACTCAAAACACTAATTTCAGCTTCCGTCAGGTCTACACCGGACAGATTAACAACCCACCGATCCCTCACCCCTTCTCTGTTGTCTCTCGGCGTCCCAGCTGTCCCCGTTTCTGAAGAATCACCTTGAGGTGAAGGTGAAGGTGAAGGTTAAGAATCACCTTGAAACGGGGACAGCTGGGACGCCGAGAGACAATAGAGAAGGGGTGAGGGATCGGTGGGTTGTTAATCTGTCCGGTGTAGACCTGACGGAAGCTGAAATTAGTGTTTTGAGTAAGGGTTTGAATTTTGTTCCAACACCGAAGAATGTAAATGACGTAGATTTTATTACGGAAGTAGAGAAGCTTAAAAGTAGGATTAACATGTCACCTGACGATGCGAACAAAGTTCGTTTTGAAGTTACGAAAGCACTACAATCTTTTAAACCGAAAAGCGACAATCTGACTGCTGAGGAAAGATGTGCCTTGCGGAACCTCAAGGGGAGGGATGATTTAGTGATACTACCTAGTGACAAAGGAAAATCTATATGTGTTGTAGGCGCTGCTCGTACGTCTGCTAGACTCAGCTGCTCGGTGCGCGGTTAGGTCGACAGTAGCGCCCCCCGTGGCCCTCCTGCTTGCGTAGCTCGGCAATAGATGGCACCGCCGGCTAGTGGCAGTACATGTGTGTGTGTGTCAGTACTAGCGCAGTATAGTGATGGCAGTATTGAACTTTCTGTTGGCGTTTGTTTTTTGATTGTCGTCATTGGCTTAAGACATCTTGGCATATTATGTGTCGTGACCCTCATTTATTATATGTGGCGATTTGGTATACCTGTCTTTCGGTTTCTATTGGCATTTTTATTCATTGGCGATTGGAGGTGATGTAGTCGTGGTACGCTTAGTGATGTTCATTTCGGTTTCTGCGTTGAGTTGGACGTGTGGCGCGGCGTGCCCTGTAAGTGAAATGGTTTGTATGGATAAAATTGTATGCCATGATTGTAATGTTTCGCATAATTTCTAATAATTACCGTTTTGCTGGTTTTTACGTGGTCAGCTCTGTTACAGTTTGCTCTTACCTGTACCATTTAGACGGATTTGTTTCGTTTCTTTGTCACTGTTACGCCACATTTGTAAATGGGGTGTCGCATGCAGGTTACGCCCGGTTTTGGTGCGAATCATCCGTGGCGCCTGCTCCTGTTGGTGGCGCCGGTTGGTGCGGCGCTCGACGTACTGGTGGCGCCGTTGGTGAGGCGTTCGGCGCGCTGGTGGCGCCTGTCTGGTGTGGCGCCCGACGCCTCGACAGCGCCCGTTTGGTGTGGCGCGCCCGGCCACGTACTTTGGCGCCTGGTTTTGGTGGCGCCCGAGCACTGTGCTCACTTTGGCTGCCGTCTACATCCTGCCGAGAGTCACTCCGATGGTGAGGATATGATTATTGTTTTGGCGTAAGTGTGTCGGCATAAGTACGAGATTTTACTTAAGTGTAATAATGTGAGATAGCACCTCATATAGCTATGCTTCTGTCCCTCACGCCTATGTTCAACTGTGGTATGTGTTATATTTGTTTGTGTGTCTTTGGCAGAAACCGTGCTCATGCACATGCGCTGTTACAATACAGCGTGGTAATCATCTGGCCTTTTTGGCGGAGCGGAGCAGACGGCGGCTACAGTTTCATCGGACTCTTCTCTCCCTGCACTTCTGCTTGACGAGGAGCTGCTGCGGAGTTCGTCAGACTGACTTGTCCAGTGAGGTTTCATCTGGCGTCTGCATACATGAGGTATTGGGGGCCCACATTCGGTCAGGGAGATTGAAGGTGTCAGCACCTGGTGCCTTGTGATGCCTTCTAGTTTGATGGTCCTAGCAGTGTTTGCTGGGCAGTAAGAATCGCAGTGACATCTGGTGCCAGTAGCTACAGTTTGGTGTGATGCAGACAGCTTGGGGTATGGGGATTGGGAGGTGTGACACATGGCTGGCTATGGTGGAAGCTGAGGTTCATTGTGTGTGCTGCTAAGTGTGTGAGATTGTTGATATTTTGGGTTCTGATGTATCCTGCTTTGGTTGGTTGTTATTGTTATGTATGTCAGGCATCTGTTTAGCTTAAGTCTTGCAGAGAGTTATTGGTGGTGACATAGGCTATCATCCGCAGGTAGATAGGTCTTGGTATTATCTGATATGGCTTCTCGAGATGATATAAGTAATTATAGGGCCTCTGAGCTGCAGCGCTTGCTAGAAGAGCGTGGACTAGATACATCGGGCAAGAAAGTAGAGTTAGTTGATAGGTTGTGGGCGGCAATGGAGGAGGAGCGGGAGAGTAGTAAGGTAGCAGTAAGTGAGGGAGTTAGTGCTCCAGAGGAGCGTGCTGTGCTGCAGGGTCAATTGAGATTTTTGAAAGAGAGAAGTATGCTAGATGAGGAGGAGGCCCGTATAGAACAGATGCAAAGAAAGATAAAGGCTAGGCGAGAGCAGTTAGTTCTAGAACAGAAACTTGCTGCCATGGGACATGATGTCACTGAGGATGTTAGGATTCGAACGGGGCATAGTGACATCTCTACTGCACTGACAGAGCAGGTGCAGCGGTCACTGCTGCCTCCTGCAGCTTTGACTCCCTTCCGTGGTGAGATCTCAGAATATCGACTTTTCATTCAGGCCTTTGAGTCCCGTGTAGCGGCCAGGACCGGGGATAAATCGGAGTTATTATATTATCTCGAGCAATATACCCAAGGGAAGCCCAGGGAGATCGTGCGCAGCTGCCTCTATCTCGGCGACCAGGGCTATGCTGAGGCCCGGCGTTTGCTGGAGGTGCGGTACGGTAATCGGCATCTGCTCATAGAGACCTTCTCGGATAAGCTCAGAGACTGGCCCAAGGTAGCTGAAGGGGATGTTGAAGGGCTGGACAGGCTGGTGCTGTTACTGACAGAGATCCAGCATGCCATGGCTGGCCTCCCAAAGGGGGAGCTGGACCACCCGCGAACCCTGAGGGATGTTGTACGAAAGTTGCCTGGGTACTTGCAGGATCGGTGGCTCAGGGAGGTCGACAGGGTGATGGAGGGACCAGAGGGCCGGATGGTGGAACTTAAGGACCTGGTGGATTTTCTGGCAGCTGAGGTCAGGGTAAAGAGTAATGCGGTCTTCGGATCGCTGCGGTCTGGACCGCGGGCGTCTGGCGGCGTGAGTCGCGTCGATCCTCATCGCGCGCGCGTGAGTGCTGTTAACGCTCGGCCGCTGCCGTCGTCAGCGGGCCGGCGCTGCGAGTTCTGTGATGGCAATCACTTCATTGGGGACTGTGATCAGCTGATGTGGCAGACCTGGGACCGTAGAAAGGGGGTTGTGTCTGATCACAGGCTCTGCTTTGGGTGCCTGAGAAAGGGACACGTGGCGAGGTTTTGTCGCTCGCGGCTGAAGTGTAGCGTCTGTGGTGCACGGCACCCTACTGTGCTGCACAGGACGTTCTCATCGGCGCCACCTGGTGCGGGTTCTTCCCCAGGATCTCGTGCTGTTCAGGTTCCGTCTGGTGGGAGCCATGTGCCGCCTGGCAGCGCTCAGGTGCCCGGCCGGGTGAATCAGTCACCTACCGAGGCGATCCGTGCGGTACCGGGGGGAGGTCGCACATCTGTTCGTGGTGTGCCGGGCCCGAGTCAGCCGGTGCAGGATGGTGCTGGTGCCGGTGGGGGTCCTGTGGGTACCCGTACGGTTCAATCGCTCGGTGGAGGTGGAGCATCCATGGTCAGTGCACGCGTGGATGTCACTGATGATGTACGTACTTACATGCCGATAGTCCCGGTTCGGCTAAGGTCGAGCACGGGCAAGGAGATTGTAACGAATGCCTTCCTGGACCAAGGCAGTTCTACCTCCTTCATTACTGATCAAACCATAACTCGATTGGGGGTAGAGAAACGGCCGACGACGATTCGCATAGATACGGTGACGGATTCAAGGCAGGAGTTGGACTCCGGCCTCGTTGAAGGCGTAGAGGTCGCGCCTCTCGTTGGCGATCAGTACCGTTGTCTACCGCCCTTATTCTCACTGGCCAACATACCAGTCACGTCCAGTGACAGGTGCAGTGTAGAACAGGCGACGAGATGGGAGCATCTGAATGGTGTAGAAATTCTGGATTTGAACGTGCCCGTCGGGCTGCTGATTGGTGGAAATGTTGCTGACCTTCTGATGGTGAGAGAGGTTGTGTCTCCGTCAGCAGGACAGGAAGGACCACATGGTGTCAGAGTTGATTTGGGTTGGTACGTAGTGGGACTCTCCTGTCACGGCCTAGACGGCAGACCGCATCTGGTTAACTTTCTGCGAAAAAGTGATTGCAGAGATGACGAGGAGGACATCCGTTTGATGTTTGAGAAACTTTACTCTGAGGAGTTCCGTGATGTATCTGACAATCGTGAAGGCATGTCTGTCGAGGACAAGGAGTGGTTGGACAGGGTGAAAGGTACCGTCCGCAAGGACGAGGACGGTCACTTCGAAATCGCTCTTCCAAGGTCAGACCTGGGTAGCATTCCTGACAGCTTCCCAGTTGCCGAGAAGCGACTCGGTTCGCTCAGAAGGAAGTTTAAACGGGACCCGAGCATGTTTCAGTCGTACGCGTCTGTGATCAACTCGCTGAGAGATGACGGCTATGCAGAGAAGGTTCCGTCCAGCGAGCTTGCCCCAAGGTCACGTGACGTTTGGTACCTTCCGCACCATGCGGTAGAAAGCCCAGCGAAACTCAGGGTGGTGTTCGATTGCGCTGCTCGGTCAGCAGGGGTTTGTCTAAATGACATTCTCCAAGGCGGTCCCCACCTGGGTCAGCCGCTGACAGCGGTTGTTTCTCGCTTTCGTGAAGGTGGTGTGGCTTTCGCTTGCGACATACAGGCGATGTATCACAGGGTACATGTCCCTGCCAGGGATTCAGACTTACTTCGGTTCTTGTGGTTCAAGAACGATGACATTGATGCAGGCGAGATTGAAGTGTGGAGAATGCGTTCACACGTATTCGGTGCGGTCTCTAGCAGCAGCGTTGCATCCTTGGCTGTGCAACTGTGCGCCGAGGGGGGAAAGCAGCAGTTTCCCGAGGCCGCTGATGTGCTGCTGCGAAACATGTACGTTGATGACGCGCTTGTGGCAGTCGACTCTGTTGAGAAAGCGGTCAGTCTCGCAGATGATCTGAAACGGCTGTGCCAAACGGGCGCGTTCAGCATGAGGAAGTTTGTATCTAACAGTGCAGATTTCCTAAGGAGCATTCCCGAAGGAGAGAGAGGAAAGGGCGTCAGGGATTTGAATCTGGACAGAGACGAACTTGGCTGTAATCGTGCGTTGGGCGTGGAATGGTGCATGGAGGATGACACGTTCCGTTTTTGCTTTCAAGACAGGAAGAGCCCGGTGACGAGACGCGGGATCCTGTCCACTGCCAGCAGTGTTTTCGATCCCATTGGATTCTGGGCTCCCATTTCCCTGTCAGCGAAGCTGATTCTGCAGAAACTTTGTGCTGCATCCTGTGGCTGGGATGAGGCAATTCCACCCGCTTTGGTTGATGAGTGGCAAGCATGGCTTCGCCGAGCTGAGGAGCTGAGCGGTGCGTGCTTGGCTCGTGACATATCTGGTCCATCGGGAAGTGTGCGCTCCACGGAGCTGCACGTGTTCGTCGACGCCAGCGAATCGGCCTATTCTGCGGTGGCATATATTCGAAAGGAAGTCGTGACCGAGAGTGATGGAGACAGTGTGTTCATGGAATTCCTGATGGGAAAGTCCCGAGTGGCCCCGCTTCGCTCTGTATCCGTCCCAAAGCTCGAGCTGGCTGGGGCCGTGCTGGGTTCTTTGATCCGGCAGTTTCTCGTCAGGGAGCTTGACACGAGGTTCGACAGAGTACATATGTGGACGGATAGTATGGTGGTGTTGATGATGATCAGGAACAGGACGACCCGGTTCAAAACCTACGTTGCGAACCGACTGGCCCTGATACATGACGTGACAGAGGTGTCTGAATGGGGTTATGTACCCTCGGGAGATAACCCTGCCGACGTGGGCTCACGTGGTGCAGACGGGACCAACTTGGGAATGTGGCTAAGGGGTCCGGGCTTCTTGATGAAGGACCAGTCAATGTGGCCTGTGGAGCCGACTGAGCGTACCCCTCTCCCAGCGTCTGAGGTAAAGAAGTCTAGTCCTGTAGCCACAGCGTTGGTCGGGCGTCAGACTGATCCATTCGGTGGGCTAGTTCGTTACTTTTCGTCTTTCTATCGGCTGAAGGTGGCAGTAGCCTGGTACAAAAGATTCATGACTGTCATCAAAAATGGTGATTTCCGCAGGTACGTTTTGGCGAAGAGGAAAGGACTCAGGCCAAGACGTGGTGGAGGCGCGCAGGCTCTCCTGACGCAGTCGGACTTGAGCGATGCTGAGTCCGACATTCTCCGCTACGCTCAGTCCGGCATGGCTGATCTTCCTCGTGATCTGTCCACGGACGGTCCGGTGAGGGTGGCGAGGACCAGCCCCTTGGCCGCTCTCAGACCGCATATTCGTGATGGTCTCCTGGTGGTGGGAGGTCGGCTGGATGCGGCAGAAGGAATCTCGATGCGAGCTCGTCATCCGGTGATACTCCCACGGGAGCATCACGTTTCAAAATTGGTGATCCGTGAGGCACACAGAGCTGTGGGACACGAAGGGAGAGATCATACGCTGTGGCGTGTGAGGGATAAGTACTGGGTTATTGGCGCGGGGAGAGAGATCAGAAAGATGCTGCGTGGGTGCACGGTATGTAGGAAGGTGAATGGCCGGCCGCTCGGGCAGCTGATGGCGGACCTGCCAGACGAACGCGTCGTTCCGGGCGTTGGGGCGTTCGAGAAGATCTCGTGTGACGTTTTCGGTCCTATCCCTGTGAAGAGTGGCCGGACAGAACGTAAGTGTTGGGCGCTGTTGAGTACCTGCATGACGACTCGAGGGGTGCATATAGAGCTGCTGGAGTCGCTCAGCACTGATTCGTTGGTCAATGCTATACGCCGTGTAGCAGCTCGCCGCGGAGAAATCCGCCAAGTGAGATCTGATAATGGGACTAACATGTGCGGAGCTGACAGGGAGCTTCGCGAGGCCCTGTTAGAGCTTGATCCCGAGGAGTTGCAACGGGCAGCCCGACCGCACGGAATTGACTGGGTGTTCAATCCGCCTCACGGTTCTCACTTTTCTGGGTCTGTAGAGCGTCAGATTAGGAGTGTCCGAAAAATTTGGAGGTCTATGCCTGTCACTCGTCTGTTGGATCGTGAAGCGCTGTACACACTGCTCTGTGAAATAGAATCAATCCTGAACAGCAGGCCGCTCACGTTTGTTACCACCAGTGACAGTAACGTTGAGCCAATTACCCCGAATCACTTGCTTCTCTTGCGTGCGTCTGTTCATCCTGTTCCTGGTGTGTTCGGTGAGTCCGAGTCGTTCTCGAGGCGCCGCTGGAGGTACGTGCAGTACTTGGCTGATCAGTTTTGGGTGAGATGGAAGAGAGAATATTTGCCTGCGCTCCAGGCTAGGCAAAGATGGAGACATGGTGCGAGAAATCTCCAGGTAGGAGATATTGTACTGCTTGTCGAGACAGGTGCTCCCCGAGGTACTTGGCCACTTGCCAGGGTAGTTGAGACGAGACCCAGTCGGGACGGCCGTGTTCGAAAGGCCTTAGTTAAGACCAGTGTATCGACTTACCTCCGACCTATCCATAAGATGGTTTTAGTTCTTGCTGAGGCCGATTTGGAGTGGTGAGTGTTTCGCGGCCGCCAAGGTGTGCAGCTCTGATTGTGTTCCTGTTTATATGTGTTAGCTTGTAAGGCTACTACAGGCGGCGTCGAGACGTTGCGAGCGTACCTTAGTGTTGTGTATCGATATATTCTGTCATGTCTTGTTGTTCCCATGTAGTTATCGTGGCAGCGCTCAAGTTTTTCAGCCGTATGCTGAAGGGGGGAGTGTAGGCGCTGCTCGTACGTCTGCTAGACTCAGCTGCTCGGTGCGCGGTTAGGTCGACAGTAGCGCCCCCCGTGGCCCTCCTGCTTGCGTAGCTCGGCAATAGATGGCACCGCCGGCTAGTGGCAGTACATGTGTGTGTGTGTCAGTACTAGCGCAGTATAGTGATGGCAGTATTGAACTTTCTGTTGGCGTTTGTTTTTTGATTGTCGTCATTGGCTTAAGACATCTTGGCATATTATGTGTCGTGACCCTCATTTATTATATGTGGCGATTTGGTATACCTGTCTTTCGGTTTCTATTGGCATTTTTATTCATTGGCGATTGGAGGTGATGTAGTCGTGGTACGCTTAGTGATGTTCATTTCGGTTTCTGCGTTGAGTTGGACGTGTGGCGCGGCGTGCCCTGTAAGTGAAATGGTTTGTATGGATAAAATTGTATGCCATGATTGTAATGTTTCGCATAATTTCTAATAATTACCGTTTTGCTGGTTTTTACGTGGTCAGCTCTGTTACAGTTTGCTCTTACCTGTACCATTTAGACGGATTTGTTTCGTTTCTTTGTCACTGTTACGCCACATTTGTAAATGGGGTGTCGCATGCAGGTTACGCCCGGTTTTGGTGCGAATCATCCGTGGCGCCTGCTCCTGTTGGTGGCGCCGGTTGGTGCGGCGCTCGACGTACTGGTGGCGCCGTTGGTGAGGCGTTCGGCGCGCTGGTGGCGCCTGTCTGGTGTGGCGCCCGACGCCTCGACAGCGCCCGTTTGGTGTGGCGCGCCCGGCCACGTACTTTGGCGCCTGGTTTTGGTGGCGCCCGAGCACTGTGCTCACTTTGGCTGCCGTCTACATCCTGCCGAGAGTCACTCCGATGGTGAGGATATGATTATTGTTTTGGCGTAAGTGTGTCGGCATAAGTACGAGATTTTACTTAAGTGTAATAATGTGAGATAGCACCTCATGTAGCTATGCTTCTGTCCCTCACGCCTATGTTCAACTGTGGTATGTGTTATATTTGTTTGTGTGTCTTTGGCAGAAACCGTGCTCATGCACATGCGCTGTTACAATACAGCGTGGTAATCATCTGGCCTTTTTGGCGGAGCGGAGCAGACGGCGGCTACATGTGTACTAACCAAGGAACAGTATCAGGCAAAAGTGCATGAGCTAGTTTCTGATGAGGACACCTACGAAAAGCTGCCAAAGGATCCGACGAACAGTTACTCACGGAAAGTAAGAAAAGTTCTAAAGAATATAGAAAGGAAAGGGGGAATTTCACGAAGTTTGTACTTAAAACTCTACCCTTCAGACCCCATGCCGCCTTTGTTTTATGGGCTTCCCAAGGTTCACAAACCAGGGGTCCCACTGAGACCGATTGTGTCCACCATTGGCTCGGTAACCTACCCTCTTGCTAAGCACCTAGCAAGCCTTCTAGCACCGCTGGTAGGAAAGACAGGCTATCATGTCAAAGACTCGAGAGATTTTGTAACGTACGTCCAGGGTTTGACTATCAGCGAGGATGACGTCATGGTATCTTTCGATGTTCAGTCGCTGTTCACTTCAGTTCCCACGGATGAAGCTTGTGAAATAGTTCAGAAAAGGTTGAGGACCGAGGACGAGAAGGGTGACAGCGTCGTTTTAGCCAATACGGGGATGGAGGTAGATGACATCCTAGTTCTACTTAGATTATGTTTAGATACAACATACTTTCAGGTAAATGGGGAGTGCTACAAACAAATGAAAGGAACCGCTATGGGAAGTCCGGTCAGTGTAGTTGCAGCGAACCTTTTCATGGAGGAATTGGAGCAGTCAGCTCTAAGGTCCTTTGCTCAACCGGTGAAGGTGTGGAAACGATGTCGATGACACATTCGTGGTCATCAGTGGTACCGACTTGGACCCCTTGCATGATCATTTGAACTGTCAGAATGACAGCATTCATTTCACGGTAGAAAAGGAAAGTGACAGTACCTTACCATTTTTGGACGTCGAGGTCAGGCGGCAAATAGACGGTTCGGTCAAAACGACGGTATATCGAAAAGCGGTGCATACTGATAACTATCTAAATTTTGAGTCTCATCACAGCGTGCAACACAAAGAGTCGGTAGTTCGCTCACTTATAAAACGAGGGGAGACCTTTTCAACAGACGAGAGCGATAAAGCCGAAGAAACAAAACGCATACAAAGAGCTTTAAAAGTGAACAACTATCCAAAAAGTTTCATACGGGCTACGCGTAGGAAGATGACCAGAGAAAGGAGTAGGCCAACAGGGAAACAGCGAGAGGAAAAGCCGCCTGTTGTTCTGCCTTACGTACAAGGGGTCACAGAAGGATAACTAGGTCGTTAAAACCCTACGCAAGGGTAACTTCAAAACCAGGACAGAGCCTGCGGAACATGCTGGTTAGACCAAAGGACAAGCGGGAAAAAATTCAAAATACTGGGGTAGTCTACCAATATGAGTGTGAATGTAACAAGGTTTATATTGGGGAGACATGTAGAAGTATAAGGGCTAGGGAAGCTGAACACAAGAGAGCGATACGGAACATGGACGACAACCACTCTGGCATTTCTACTAAGCACGTCATTGACACCGGTCACTCCATCCTATGGGAAAATGTCAAAATTCTGGCGTATGAAACAGACTGGAGGAAACGTAAGATTAAAGAAGGGATATTCATAGAAAGAGCGAAGGGTAGACTTTTAAATACAAAACCCGGTGTACCGCTGGCAAATGTGTACCGTGTGCTGAAGTAGTGAAAAAGTGCAGGGTGTCTCTATACTGGGACCTGCGGAATTGTAATATGTATACTTGTATGCATGTTGTTTCGCCGTTTTGACGATTTACTTATGATGTTGAAGCGCATGTGATAGGCATGTGTCTTTTTTATCGTTGCTGACGTCTGTGATATTACCTGATATTTTTACTCTTCATCCAAGAAGCGAAGACTTAATTTAAGCATGTGACCACATAATTTTGGAAATTTGAATGTGCGCCACTTATACGTATCCAAACGATGTTTAATATCACGAAACGAACGACTAGTGTTTCTGCCGCCACTTCACCTTTGCTTTTCCAAGTAAGCCCAATTGATAAAACTCACTGTGATTCTGTATTGATTCATAACTAAAAGCGGTTTTAACAATTAATGGGCCAGCAGTAGCGGCAAATAAAGGCAAAACAATTGCGGATGAAACAGTTGCCAATAAACGTAGATATGAAAACAAAAACAACAAATAATCTAAATCTTCTCAAGTAAAATCCAATCTTCCAGTGCAAATTTCAAAGCAATAATTCGGGCTCGTTCTACTTCTTTTCTATCGCTGTTCGCGGGACTTCGTTCCTCTGGGATCCTTTGTCAACGGGTATCAAAATTTTCACAGCCGCTACAACACCTCCCCCGTAAAACCGGGTACGGTTTTCGAATTCTTCGGTACTTTAGTTAGTTCTGTTTTCTAATGTCGTTCCTACTGTGTCTCTTGACCCTACTGGCTCTGTCGCTCGATCCAAACCAACTTGTTCGTAGGACGCTCTACTGTTTTGCCACGCATTCTGACCGATACAGAGCGCACGAGGCCATCAGTGCTTCTTTTCACTGATGTCACCAGGCCGAGCGGCCACTGGCCTCGAGGTATCGTATGATCGGCGACAAGAACCACATCACTTACCGCTAAATTGTTCTGCCGAGTCTGATTTGATGATCTTTCTTGTAGTAGCGGGAGGTATTCTTTTTGCCAGCGCTTCCAAAATTGGTCTGCTAGATACTGAGCCTGTCGCCACAGTTTTCTTCCATGAAGGTCTTCCTCCTTATATACGCCAACTGGGATCGAAAGCGATCCTCTTGAAAGAAGAATATCGTTCGGTGACAGAGGATCCAGATCCTTTGGATCGGCGGACACAGGTGTTAATGGGCGGCTGTTCAGTATGTATTCAACTTCGCACAGGAATGTGTGAAGCGTTTCCTCGGTGAGGGACTGCAGGTGAAGCAAAGAATCTAAAATCTTGCGCACACTCTTGATCATACGTTCCCATGCACCGCCGAAGTGGGAAGCACCTGGAGGATTAAAACGCCACTGAATCCTGTTCTTGAGCAATGTTTCTTGCATTGTTTTGTTTTGTTCCACGATCGATTCCAGCTCCTTGCCAAGCTCACGCATGGCTCCTACAAAATTGGTACCTCTGTCGGATCTGATCTGTTTGATTGGTCCTCTGCGTGCTAAAAAGCGCCGTAAAGCGCATATAAACGAATCTGTTGAGAGACTGCTGGCGACTTCAATATGGATAGCTCGCATACTCAAGCAGGTAAATATGACCCCATATCGTTTTGCTTGTCCTCGGCCCTTCTTGATGAAAAAAGGTCCAAAAAGATCGATTCCAGAACTTGAAAAGGGTGGATCGAAGGGAGTTACCCGGTCTAGTGGCAGATCCGCCATCTTTTGTTTCTTGACCTGTCCGTACAAACGTCTGCAGTGGTGACATTTGGCAAGAACACGCCTGACGGCGCTATTTCCTTTGATTATCCAATATGTCTTTCTTATCTCCGAAAGTACGTGTTCTCGTCCCCCGTGGCCAATCTCTATGTGAACCTTCTGTATCAAAAGTTCAGTCACCTTGCTCTTGTTGGGTAGAATGATTGGAAATTTCGCTGCATCAGGCAGTGATGAGTTTCTCAAACGCCCTCCGACACGAAGCAGACCGCCATGCATTTCCGGATCCAAACGATATAGAGTACTCTGCTTTCGAACGTTGTCTACAGCTAAGTTTAGCTTCTCCTGATGGAAATGTATGTCCTGCTCTTGTAGCAAGATGACGCGTTCAGCTTCCAGTAACTCTTCAACTCCCAGACCTCCAAGACGCCTCTCTCTACGCAACAACACTGACTTTACGCGCAGAAGCCATGCCACCGCTCGCGTTAAAGTCCACCATGATGAGTAGTAGTTGATAAGTGTTTGTATTGGAGATGTATTGTCAGCACCAACAGTTCGAATGGTGCATGCCGTTACAGCCTTCTTTACCTCAGGATCATTGTTGTCGCCAAATGGGTCTATTTTTTCTTCTGGCCATGCCTCTTCGTTCTTCCACAGGATCTCAGGTCCAATTTTCCACGCCTTGTTTGTGACGAGGCTGGCTCCGTTTTGCCCACGAGACACAAAGTCAGCAGGATTGCTTTTCGAACAGACGTGCCGCCATTGCGATAGGCGTTATCACAAGTGCATTCGCGGCCATTGGGGCGACGTAAGAAAAGAAGAAGACAACTGGCCCCAAGAACTTTAAATTATCAGTTAGCATGCATCTTTTCCTTGATCTGTAGAGAATTTACCACTAATTGCTAGAGAAAATTGCATTTAAAATCTTCCATCTATGCTTTTTTCATCGTTTGCACAATATGTTCTTTTATTAAGCTAGAAATACTAATTAGAAATAGTTCCCGCATCATCAAGAACAATAGGGAAGGATTGAAGTGAATACAATAATCTACACGGTGTTGTAATCTATGTGAAGACACTTCTAAAATTACCTGTAGAAATATTGAAGGCAAAAGTTCAACTTTTTCACAAGACGGATGTCTATAAACCTATTCAACGTGTGACAACTCAGCCGGTATTTCGTCGCCTATAGCCCAGCTTTCCC